AATCCATGTAAATGACTGATTGTCTTATTCCTGTTTAGATGTATATTATTCCCTTTATAATTCTACTTTTGGGTTAAACTCTCTGGCTGTGCCTCCTCCTCCTTCTCTCTGTCATGTTGGTGGGTCTTGGAGGGAGGACTCAGTCGCGGAGATTCAGAAAGCAGGTTTTATTGTAACAAAAACGCACTCATGGAGTGGATGGTGACAAAGTTCAAAACAAGGCTGTGAGAAAAATATGATCAAAGTAGCAAAGTAAGATAAACATGGCTGTGGCAAAATAAGGCAATGACAAAAACATGGCTATGGTACAAAGTAAATAAGACTATGGCATGGAGCAAAAGCAAAACCTTACTTGACGTGGAGAGACGAAAGAGGAAAGACGCAACAAAAAGGACGAAAACACACTGGCCCAGGACATGGGAAATGAGGACTATTTAAACACATGAGGGAGGGGAACCCCAGGGGAACACAATAGGTAATCAAGACATGACAACACACCAGAAACTCCCCCAGACGGGACACTCTCTCTGTTACCGTAGATACTCGTCTTCAAACTCAACATCCACACTTTCTTATCACCTTCCACCTAAACCTGCATGAATTAGGACCTGGCCTGTTCCTGTCAGAGCTAACTGGCCAATAACACTCGTCCTCCTGTTGGAGGCCCAGAGGAAAACTGTCCATCACCCCCAGAAATAAAAGTCATATTTGTACTCCTGATCTGCTCTGGTTTATTCTCAGGCTTCCAGATAAAGATCCGAATCTAACAAGCAGCACCAAAGACCTAAAGCTTATGACAAAAAACGGCCATCGTTGGGTTTCTGTAATTAACTTCAGAGTCTGACCTGCTCTGTTTGGAAAGCTGTGAGATAAATTTTGTTGTGATGTGGCGCTATATAAATTAAATTGAATTGAATTGAATTAATTGTAATTTTGTAATGTCATTGTCTGAACGTGTGTTTGGACTGATTTTGTATTATGTGATTTTGTGTTGTTTGGTCTTCCTGCCTCAGGACCAAAGATTTAAACTAGCAACTATGCTATAATCTGGCTCATTTACAATCTGTATGAGATTGTTCATTAATGTGCACTGTCCTGATTAAATAAATAAAAAAATAAAGAAAAATAAAATTTTCCTCATGTTTTTTTTTGTTTTGTTTTCATCCAAAGAACCAAACTAACACCAACGACGAAGGGAACGAGTTCCATTATGATCTGAACTCCTTTTCAGCTGTAAATGTGCAGAGGGATCCAGAGGACACGCTTAACAGCCCCTCCGGCGGGTTTACGACCTTTTAGTGATAAGAGCCTTGTCCTGGTGCCGGGCCAATTTATGGCAGGCGGGAAGAAGCACTTTCTAATAACACCTGGCTTCTGTTTTTTTTCAACTACATCTTTAAGAAGGACCCCTCCATGCACCGAAAAGGCTTCGACTGTTAACTCATTGGCTGCCAAAGACGTCTATAGACGTCGATTCAAATACAACCGTTGACTGCCAAAGACGTCTATAGAGGTCTTTTATGTTTTTAACGAGAGTGTCTGGGGGACGATCTGCTAAAGCTTGTCCGTAAATATGGGCTTCTAGACAGAGTATGTAGTAACAAATTGACCCTCTAGGGGGCAGTGCCACTTTTGATGGGAGATGAGCATAGACTGTAGGCAAATAAGAAAAAGGGAACGGTTCTATGAGAGAACATGTCGCTGGTTGGTGTCCCGATCGTGGGAAATGAAGGAGAGAATAGCCTAGCTCACGGCGTGTTTCAGAACTATTTACATAAATGTATTTGTGAATAAATTATTTTGTCATTTAAAACCATTTCTAGATGTTGTTTTTGCCGTTTTATAGAAGGATAAAACTTTTAAGATGTTTGAGGTGTCACTAAAGCCAAAATAATAGCATCAAAGACACTTCTCTGCTTGAACTGTATCTTTTCGCAAAAAGCTTGTTTTCTCCATTTATTGGTCAAAAACTGTTGTTTTTGTTGAAACCAACCTATGTTCTACTGCTGATTACTAAAGAACTGAATAAGGTAGAAACACATTTTTTTTCCTGATGAAAGAAGAGAGTCTACTCTTTCTTTTGGTGTGTTCGGTGTTTACATAGTCATAGCACAAATTATTCTGTGGCTCTAGAAAAATCAGTCAAAATGCTCAAAAAACTCTGGCAGTATGGGACTCTGTTCTGAAAATGGCTGCCAGTCAATGAGTTAATTAAGACATCTCATCTGACTTATTTTACACACTGATCAGTTTGCCCAGAGCAATAATTGAGGCCGAGGGGAGGAGAATAGTCGACCACACTCCTGATCTATAATCAAGATAACCAGTAAATTGTTTTGGCCGGGGTCGGGTTTCATTTCAAACGGAGGGTGTTGCTCTGAATGAATCATCTCCAGGACAAAGATGGTTCCACGTTTCCTGTCCTTCACCTTTAGAGTCACTTCCCACATCTCTAAGGAGAAAAGAGCGACGATCGGAGTGTCTTTCAGTTTAAAAAATTACACCTCCTTCCCTCCAGTTCGGCGCTGATTACTTCCCATTTCCTTCCTCGCAATCATCTCCCCGTCGCCTCATCAGTTATTCACCGGTTCTCCTCGTCCTCCCGCAAAGATCACCAGCCTCCTCCCTTTTTTCTTTCGATTCTGTTGATGGTCTCAAATGACTCTACAAAAATATTGCCCCTTATTTATTCAAACGAGAGTTCCCCTAGCCAGAGTGTGTGGATCAATGAGCAGATCTTAACCCTTTAAAGCCTGATCCAAGAATAAAACAAAACAGAAAATTACTTTTTTTTTGTTTTGAAGTCTTTATTTGGCCTTTAAACAAAATATGTAAAAAGTATAAAACAGAAATAGTATTTTTATATTAATAATTTATTACTATGCGATAAGTCCAGATTATTTTTTGTGTATCTTCTGCCCCCTGTTATCAGGTGTATCTGATTGTGTTCAATAGGATTTTGAGCAAAGTTTTTACCATTAAATTATGCAAAAGGTGTCAGACGCAAAACATTTCAGAAACCGTATGAATCAGATATGACACATTTGTTATTACAGGGTTAATCAGCTATTGCTCATCATCTGAAATGTAAAAACTAAACTAATCTGCTTATTCTCAGATCTATATTTTTAAAGACTGTACCTTTTAGTTTTATGTTTTCTGTTCTGTATTTTTATTTCTACATTGTATTTCCTTCCTTCAGACGCAAAACATTTTAGAAACCGTATGAATCAGATATGATATATTTGGCATTACAGGGTCAAAACAGATCAAACTATCAAAATATACAAAATATACAATATCATTATTATATGATACATTTGGCTTTACAGGGTTCCCATGTTTCTCAGCTTGCTGCATGTGTCAAACACTGTGTCTTGGGGAGATAACAGAACTCTAGAGTCCCCTCTTTTCTCTAAGGCTTCTAAAATCTATCTGAAAACGGGTTGGTGGTGGGAACCTTTGGATTGAGAAATACAGTGGGGGGGAAATAAGTATTTGAGCCCTTGCTGATTTTGCAGGTTTGCCCACTTACAAAGAATGCAACGATCTATAACTTTAATCATATGTACATTCTAACAGTGAAAGACAGAATCCCAAAGAAAATTCCAGAAAATCACATCATATGAATTTATAAAAATTGATAACCGTCTGAAAAATAAGCATTCTTTGTAAGTGGGCAAACCTGCAAAATCAGCAAGGGCTCAAATACTTATTTTACCCACTGTAGCTGGCGTCCACCAGGATGATCCAGATGGTGGGAACCAGGGCTGTGGGTCTGGGAGCCAAACGAACCTGGCGTGGTGTTTTACGATGGGCAGCAAAATAGAAAAATCTCTCAAAGTAACAGCGTTCAGAGCTACTCGCATCACGGCTGAATACGTGATTACGGACTGTGTGGATGCTGGCAGATGTATTTATTAACGACATTCTGCAGGATAATAGCGTTCCAGGTCTGGTTCTGGTTCTGTGTTTGCAGCAAAACACTAAACACATCTATCTATCTATCTATCTATCTATCTATCTATCTATCTA